TCTATTATTATCACATATTTTTCCAGGACGATGAAATTTTTTTTTTTTTTTTTATTTTTTTATTTTACATTTACTTTAAATAAACATTGAATAAGAATAATTTTTCGCGAGTATTTTTTTATAACATTATTACATTGTGGTGTTACATTTTACATTTTACATTTTTCTTTAATTCGTCATATTTCAATTATGTTTAATATAAATAAATGTTCAAAGCTTTTATTTTTATCATTCGTTAATTCTAATGAATTAAAATATCAATGCTTGACTTTGTGTTTACATTTAATTCGTTGAAAATTTCATTTTTGTAAGACATATTTTGATTGCTGCTATCAATTTTACAATAAATTTGTTAATAAATTGTCTAATTTAGGAGCAAATTTATGAGCAAATACAATTGTTCTTTCAAATACATGGCATATGATGTATTTATTGTTATTTTAGCATTCATTGTTAGAATATCAAATTTTCCTGATTGTCTTTGCTTAGCTCAAAATATTCCTTACGTAGATTTTACTTGTATGAATATTTTCATAAAATTTAAATAATCTTATATCCACAATTTTGCAAGTAGCTTGTGCCGGTAGACTATAATTTCTACTTAACAAATGCACTTTATTACTTATAAATGACAGACAGGTGTTTTTTTTTTTTTTTTTTTTTTTTTTTTTTTTTTTTTTATATATATATATAATAGTAATGTTTAAAATAATCGTAGTACTATTTTGGACTTAGTATGGTAATATAAGATCAAAACGAAAAAGAAAATTTGAAAAAACAAAATTATCTCCTAAGTACGTTAATAAAATTGTTTTTTTTTTTTTTTTTTTTGCAACATTTCAATGCTTTCGTCCTTTCTTACTTTATTATATAATACTATTCATCATGGTCTAAAAAATATATTTTCTACAATTAGTCTTTAGATGGAGATTGAAAAAATTGCGCTCATAATTTAATCGATCGCTTTTTAAGATATTTGAGATCTTTATATGTATATAATTGTAAATATGTTGTAAAATAAGCATAGATGATATTAAGAGACTCTCTGAATAATATATATGCTAATTACATACGCGCATAGATTTAATAAAAATCAAATGTAAAATCATAAAATTTGTTTTATTTCAAATGCACAGCGTAGAGCATTACAGGATTTTTTTTTTTTTTTTTCATTCATCTTGCCTGAGCGCATAACTAAGAAATAATGTATAATAATAAGTCATGAATTAGTCATTTAATAATATTATCTATATACAATTGTTATACTTACAAAGTCTTCAATAATTACTTCAATGATTTATATAAATAGTGAGTCCAAATTTTAAAGAAAATCTTTCAAGAAATGCTATTTTAAATTTTACGTCAACACAAAATCGTAATATTTATTTTTAAAATAAATTTTAGTTTTTGGAGTAATTATTGATCTTTTATTTTTTTTATTTATTTATTTATTTTTTCGTTTTAATGTACATACATTCAAAATTATTTCTTCGTATTGTATTAAGTTAGCTTTATTTTTCTTCTTTAAGATGATATTAACAATTGAATCAGGGATGGGTTATTTGCTTTTTACAACACTTTCTATGTTTTAAGTAGGAGTTACATTATTTATTTGAAAATAGTTTTACCAAAAAATTTGTTTAGACTGTATATAAAAAAAAAAAAAAAAAAAAAAAAAAAAAAAATATATATATATATATATATATATATGCAGTAGGTTTAAAAAAATTTTTTTTTGTATAATTTAACGAATACTATGAAATAAATATTAATTTATAAATGTATAAATTAATTTTGTTCACGTTCTATTCGTTTCTCAATGAAATCTCCATTAATTCAGAAAAAGAAACTTAATTTTACGAATGAAGAAGGTATTGCAGTTATTTTCATTTTCAGAAGAATAATATAAAATATTAAAGTGACATGACAATAATTATATTAATAATCAGTATTATTCGACTTATATTCTTTGACATTATGTTGCGTTAAATTTGAAATCTGTGCATAGATGACTGCCAATTAGTACGTAGCTTGCAAGAAACTTTCACATTTTTATAGTCTATGAAGAATTTTAAGTCTATTAGGCTCTTCATAATCCTAATCTCAAATACCTTATTATAGTATAGATAGTTTAGAAAATTCTACAACTATAAATGCAACTACGGTCATACGATCTACAATTGTATTTTTGCAAACTTTTTACATGCCCCCCCCCCTCCTCCCCTCCCCTCGTATTGTATTAGACAGTCTTTTAAAATGACAAATGTCAATACAATATTATTTCTACCTTTTTAAAGACTAATTAATTAGATTATTATAATAATAACACTCCAACTTTTCATTAAGCATCGATCAGCTTATGGATATTATTATGCTTGTGCTTAATTAAATGTCTTCGTATTATTAAATTCAAATTGCATATTGGTAATTTAAGAGTAAAATATTGCTTAATTTTCGTTTTAAATGCAAGCGAAAATTCAAAATCCTCGTATCACAAAATTATTTTTGCACATCAATTTGATTATAGTATAAAGTGCTTCGCCAATATACAAGTTCTAAAATTCATAATTTTGTTTAGGCCTTTCAATTAAAAAAAAAATATTTACATAAGCTAGGCCTTTTTGTCGAAGATCATTCTTTCTTTCTTTCTTTCTTTCTTTCTTTCTTTCTTTCTTTCTTTATACGGAGGTAATGACATCTACCAATGGCATGTTTGACTTTATTTCGAGGGATGAATCACTTCACACCAAGATATAATGAAATCGAAATTACATCGATATGTCCCTAGCGGCATTGAGTCCCATTAAGAGATAAGATGTTTAACGTTTTGCCAAATACATGTATGAGCAAGAGTGCCAACTATCGAGAGGATGGGCCAAGGATCAGGAAGGCAATTACCTAGCCAAGGCACAAAATTCTGACAAACGCAGGAATTTCAAAACATGATCTGGGGAAGGTGTCGTTGAATTAATGTCACGCATAAGATGCCTGAAGAAATTAAATGTATCTTGAAAAAGATCTAACAAGCACTACCATAAAATTAACACCTCTTCCCAGAAATTCAGACTTGCTTGGAAACTAGAGTTTAACAATATTGAATCTATATACCTCTTGTTTTGCTTATGAGGCGCAACTTAACAAAAGAATATAAATCAGGAGCATAAGATGCTCTCTTTATTTATTTATTCTTGGATGCTGAACACAAATGAACACGCGTCTATAAATGTCAACGATTAATTAAGTTATGAATACTAACAAAGAAGCATTTTGAGTGCCAAGTAAATGAGAATTATCAAGATTTTTAGTACTCTTTGTAAAATTCTAATTGTTTGAATATTAAATTTCCATCTAAACAATCTATTTTTTGAGTCTCATTTAATGTATTGAAAATTGATTATAATATGTGAAATAAACTATCTACCCATCGAATAAATTATTGCTTGTTAAGCTAAATCATAATTTAATTTTTGGAAAATTGAATTTGTTAGAAATTTTATTTTATTCATTCAGTCACGCAGTTAATAAAAATACATTTTCTTAAAAAGTTGTTCATGTAGAATACATTGAGCATATAAAAAGAAGAAAAAAAAATTATATTTGCACGATAAAAATAAATATATCAGTGGTTAAGCTTAAGCTGTTTTAAGTTTTTAAATGTTTAAGATATCAAAGGATCGTATTTACAAAAATAATTATACATTTTTTAAAAATAACATCATTCAATGATTAGTAATTGCGAAAAGTTGAACAATTTATTAATGTATTGTAAGATAAAAATAAATATTTAGTCACAAAAGTTTATTAATTATTAATCAGCCATGTTAGAATTGAACAAATTAAATAAATTCCTAAACCTTTGTATTTATTACATAATATTTATAGTATTTGTATTTTATGAATGCTTTTGTAAAATTAACTGGAATTAAGTGTAATTTTAATATCCGTGATATTAATTTGACATTAATTATTAGCAAAATGCATTATTCTATTTGTATATTTAAAATTAACGTTTCTATTAATTATTTGATCGATAAAGTTCCAGTGTAATATTATACCGTCAGTAACACGGTGCACCAAATATTAAATTGCAAGAAGCTACATACGCATGTATATATATATATATATATATATATATGCCTGTGTGCGTGCGTGTGGCCACGTATGCATGCACACGCAAGATATCTTTAAATTATCTTTTTGACAGACATGATTTTTATTCATATTTCATTAACAATTATAAGCTTAACCGCATTAATATATATATATATATATAATCAACATCAGATCTATAATTCACTAATTTAAATCAAATTCAAAATAAATGAAGAGAACGAGGCAGTCATAATTCTTTTATTACAATTTTCGAAAGCAATATAATTCGCGAGTATGATACCGTTGAATTTATATCACAAAGCTTAAAATTATTTTATTAATTATTAATTATTTAATATTCCAACACAGCTTTTGATTGATTTGGATAAAAACTCGTTTTATTTTTAAAAAAATTTCATACTTTTTAAACCAGTGTTTTTTAAACCAATACATTTAATGAAAATTTTTTTTTAAGGTACCTTAAAATACATTTCAAAATTTTTAATTTTATTTGTGTCTCTTTCCAAGAGAAAAAAAATCTTGAAAAATACCCTTTTTTACCACTCTACATGAAAAAATCTTTAAGCAATGAACAATTATTTTAAATTAATACAGCAAATTGTATAAAACTAAATAACTTATATTACATAATCCAAATAATTATACCATTTTTTAACTTAAATAATTATAAATTTCATTTCTGTATATGTTAATGAAAATTATATATAATATAATGTTATTTTTATTAATTGCTATTACTAAAATATGATATAAAAATATGTAATAATAAAAATGTAAAAAATAATTGTACAAAGTATAAAAGAGAAAAGAACATAAATTTTACACTGTAAAAAGATTTGAATCAAAACGAACAACTGAAATTCAATGATCCAATCTAATTATTTTCATTATTTTCCTTATTTAGTTTCATCAATTTTGTCTTTTACTTTCATTTATTAATAGATTTCGCTAGATGGGTAGATATGTTTACAACATTCTTCTACTCGATACAGATATATTAATTAAATATGAAAAGGCTTTATATCAATTTGAAAATCCGATATACCTAATATAAATATATACACGAAAGCGCTTCCGAAGCTGTCCGTTATGTTGTAATGTCAATAATTAAAAATTTTTATGCAACGATATGTGCATGTATGTACTAAAAACACAATATTTCAAATAAATATATCTTGCCATAAACATAGATATAAATAAGAATTTGTTGCAAAATATCATTAGATCTTACATTAAAATAAATGTGTAGTTAAGCTAACTTTCCAACCTCGTGAACCCATCCCCAATCTTCGACTATCTGCTTACACGGGTCAATGAAGAAAAGAAGGGGAAAAAGAAATTGACCTCGCGACGCCTGTTCGTCCATATGGCTCTCACTCAGCCAGACAATTGATTAGTAATCGTACTCGCCCCCGTGGTCTGCTGCGAGTCTTGCATTAGGGTGTGTGTTTCCTCCTCCTGGTCCGATAGTGGAATTGCAGTGGATATTTCGAGATTGTTGGTTTGCTTCGATTTCAATTGACTGGGCAGCTCGGTTAGTACTGGCCCGTACTGCGAAGTGGAACCCACCAGCAAGTCAGTCGATGGATTCAAACCGCCCAACATCTTTATATTCAATAGCAACGCGCATTATAACATAAAGTTGAAAGAAAAATGGGAAGGAGGGTTGGTTGCAAGAACAGCGATAAAATAAAAATGTAAAAGCACAGAAAAGCAGTTACAAATATAATAAATTTTTCTCTTTTCATCCGGATGAATCAAGCTCAATTGCTTTTTAAATTTTACATAATTTATCAATATGTTCGAATCATATTGCTTTTTGTATCACAGTTTGTATCACAGTTTGTATCATTGAAGCAATTGAAAAATTTACTTGCATAATAATTTCAAATTTGTATTCCATTCTTTTTTAATATTATAATTTTATAAAAGTAATCAAGCTTGAGCATTCATAATGAATTTACGCATACCTGACCACTGTTACTTATCATTCCACCTCTAGGTGATTTGCCACGTCGGAAGAAACGTAACCAAGCCCAAATACCACCTAGAAGAATACCAAATAGCATCATCGCAGCACCAACTGCCGTAAGTGTATCGATGTCATAACTTGAATGTTCTTTAATTTCTGTCGTTGTGTCCTTTGATGGAACGGTGCTATATTGATATGGGATTCCAACCTGCGATTAAAATACAAAATGAATTAGAATGACTCGAATGAAATTGTTTAGACATTAAAGTCAAAGAATAGTAAAGTCGGGTGAAGTAAAGTAAATAATACAGCAATTTAAAGTTAAACTTTTAATAAAAATGCTTTCTCAATGTTTTATTTTAATTTTTACTACTTCATAAATAATTAATATTTTCAAATTAAATTCAACCATTTCACAATTTTTATTTAAAAATTATTTTACAAAGCGATTGAAATATTCTAGAATTATGACAAGTTATTGATATCTGAGTTGGAAAGAGTTTCTTAGATATCATTTATTCGAAGCTTCATAGCATCAAGAATTTCTTTTGTGAAAATACAACATTTGTTTATATTATTTATAATTATTAAAAATCATTTATCAAATATTACCTCAACCGATTCCTTTTCTTGAACGATTGGCTTTGGATCTGGCGATAATAAACTTGCTAGAAACATTCCATGCCCGATAATAAATGTTGCTACAGCAACTGAAATTAACACCCACTCAAGACAAGTTTTTAGCTCGTATTTGTGCCTAGACATGAGCCTTGAGAAATTACTCCTTATTCCAAATCTGCCACCATCTCGTGTGTCGTAAGCATAGCCCACAGTAGTGGGTTGATATACTGCTCCGCTTTCAGGCATTTTGCTACTGTGTACACAAAATTAGTACTTACAATTAGCTATGATTTTTCATTACTATTAAGCGATACTTATACAATAATATCGACAACTATATTATAATTGTTATACCAAACATTTCATTGCATATTAATTTATTTAAATATGTAAGGTAAAATCAAAATGAATCGAGTTAAATTTATTTAAGTTTAATCGATCTGACTTTAGCTATACTCTTATAACTACAGAATTCAGCGGCCCTTTTCGACAATTGTAAATTACTGCAACGACATTTATCTAATCAATTTATAAACTAATTATTTTTCTACTTTCAATATGCATGCGTACGCTTGTGTAACAGTTGTATCTCACTGATAATAATGCAGTCTACAAAAGATTGGTTTCATTAATGATTTACTCTATTCCGAGTTATTATCAGTAAATGTTGCGTTAAGATTACATTATCACAGTATGTACGTTAAATGAATGTGAAATGAAATTGAATATTATATTATACCATCGAACGCAAAGGGACACACTGCAGTTTTGAACTACATACTGCTTTTGTAAATTTATAATGCCGATTAATATCGGCTGAATCTTACTTTATCCATACAGATATTGGTATTAAAACTCAATGTGTAAAAGCATAACGTAGCATAACGAAGAAAGTATTTTGCTAAAATAACGCATTATAAATACTTCGGAATAGAGCCAAAATTAGTCTCTGAAAAATATTGCAAAACTTTTGTATTTTTATATTCTCAATGTTCGACATGCATCATGCCGTCGCACCTATGCATCTCTCGTCTCTGTCGTGATGTCTCTCCGACGTATATCTCGACACATTCACATAAACAAAAAAAAACAAAAAAAAAACATTTTCTACGCAAAAACTCATCACAATTTATGTAATCATCATTAATAACGGACAGATAAATTCTGCGGAGACAAGTCGCAGAACTTCTAACTTCGTTCAAAACAAACATGAAGATCCTTCGGACAATCGTATTTCATCATTCGGAAAGTGCTGTCGTCGAGGAGTTGCTAGCAGTCGAATCGACTACTAACTAAGCAAGAAAAATTACGAATTTATGATAAAAATGTAATGCCAATATAATATACCGTGGACGTACGAAATCTGGTTAATACGAATCCTAGGCTAATATCGTTGTTGCTCTGCAGTACGGGACGCAGAGGTGAAACTAATCCAACTAATCGTGGGAAGAAGAGGCTCTGCTCTTGGCCTTTATGTTCCAATGTATGCTTCTCTCTTCAATAATACCATCCAACAACCAAGCTCATGCCGTTTCCCGGCTGCAAGCGCTCTTTCTCCTTCTCTTTAGTCGCTTGGCAATTTGGCGATTTGGCGATTTGGCGATTCGGCGATTCGGCGATTCGACGATTCTTTAACCAAATACGACGCTAATTAATCACTATTGCGAGGCGCGACCGAGGCATATCGATATAACCGTTGAGAACACCTCCAATCTGCCTACGTATGCCACTGCGCTACCCGAGCCTTCTGCTCTTTTTCCACTTTCGATTGGATATCGTAGCCGAACCAGCGGCACCTCTCAGACACACGCTCTCAAGGTCAAAGTTATACTACTTCTCTCGAGCAATATATCAAGCTCTAGATAGGTCTGCAACAACCCCCTACAAAACACAAAACTCAAAAGTCCAATCGACTGGCCTCGCCTCTTCTTACCTTCGGAGCGCCTTTACAATGCGACGGACGATCTATTATGATTATTGTAACATCCACTTCCTTATTTCAACCGTATGCTATTTAGAGCTGGTTTCGACGATGGTCGCGCATGGCCAATGCCAAGTCTCGGCGGCAGCGGGGATACACAATGGAAGATAATGCCCGAGGCACCTCGGATCACGTAGCGAGAGAGACTTTTTGAATAAAAAAATTCGAACGCACGTTCGGTTAGGGAGAAGCGCGCCTGCGTGTTAGTGTGGCGTGGGGCGGGTGGTGGACGCCGGG